CGAAAATAGAAGGATAGTTTCCAGTGTTACATTTTTTTATAAAATATTACATAACACTATTGATGTACTATTTTTGATAAATTAAATAAATTTTAATGTTCCCCAAACAGCCATTAGATATCATAAAACATTTTATACAGCAAGTATTTGAACGAACTTGGAAAGAAATTCACCTATAATGCTAATGTGCTCAAATTTTAATTAATTTTGTTCTGATTGGGATATTTATTTCGACCATTAGTTGTTCTAATTTGTAGCTAATGTATTTAGGATTCTTTCTTTTTTTTTTCTTGCTGTTGCTAAAATTATTTTCTGTCGAAATATTATGTTTAACATTTATTTCATGTATTTTTTTCTGTAAATGGATTAATTTGTTGGGCAATAAAATTATTTTTATTTTATTAAGCAAAAAAATGTTTATTTTGATGCATTTACCACCTTTAAAAGTTTGTCAGTATATTAACGAGAAATTCTATATAATTCCCAAAGAAAAATATTTTTGGAATAAATTCCGAATTCTATTTATTGATATTTGTTATTTTTTAGGTTCAATGACTCGAAACATGATGATCAGCTACACCAAGAATATCCTTGATACTGTGGTAGGAGATACTGATGGTAGGAGATTAAGCAGATTTTATGCTATGTCACATTGTGGTGCGAAGACGTGGCTTGTGTAAATTTGGGGTATCAGTTGATAGAAAACAGTACGCAAAAATAAATTTAAATCTGCAGATGCATCATAGATAGCCATATTCCATACCACAATACGTCATGCGTGAACTCGATGAGATTTCATCGGCTAAGTATCATTCCTCTGTAATGTTTTGTATCATTAGGAACACCAACATTGTAAACAATTATGACCAGGGTTTTCTAACCTTTTCCCTAGGTCAGAGAGAATAAATGAAAACTTAATAATGTATAGTAATAAAGATTGAAAATATATATACTTTTAAGAGTTTTATTATGTCAGCCATAGTTTTATACCAAAAATGAAAATAAACTGAAATTATACATTAAAAATACATTTATAAATTAACTATATTTATAACACTCATCAACTCTCTCCTGTCTAAAATATTACTTATCCATCTATTCGGCTCTGTTCCGTCTATTTTTTGCCTTTAGCCTCCTTCTGACACTTCCATTCGTTCTTATTCAGTGTAGTATGCATAGTTTTCAGAATATCAAGTGTTATACCTATCTGATGCTTGGTCCTGCAAAGTTCATCTTAAGTACACCTGCTTATGTGATATCTATCTCGATGTCAAGTTTGATTGAACACCCGTTTCTTGCCTATTACTCTTATACTTAACCAGAACTACCTTAGACTCGAACGCATATGTCTAATTCGGCCAAAATACAGCCTTGGTACACAAATATCTATTTTACCGCTGGTTTCATTACAAAAAACTGGAGTAAAGGGTAAAATTATCTCTTGTCCAGTACACTGGTATACACTTGAGTATTAGCCTATATTATTTTTGATTGAAGACGTATACATTTAAAAATGTCGTTTACTTAAAAATAAACATTTAATTTTGATATTTTATTTAACTTAATCAAAACATTAAATTATTATTTTCCATTTATATATGGCTTATACCGGACCTGTATATACTCTAGTAGCCATGAAGTAGCTGACAGTGTTGCCGTCAGTTGCCGCCACATATTCATTAGTGACATACGTTTTATAAATTCATCGTGTTACATATTTGTTGACATAAAGAGATAGAAATTTAAAGTGACGTCTTGTATTACTTCGGATGAAAAAAATCGATAATGCAATTTTCTAACCTAAAAAAATCGTGATTATATGTCAAACGAAATTGAACTTGGCCTTAACGACTATATGGAAAAGAAAATGGCAGTGTCAAAAACAAGTGTATCTTATATTTAAAGTCAGCTCACGATTTTGAGTTTTGTACATTTTGTAGCAGTTTCCTGTTTTAAAATTTCAAACAATTTTTTTATTAATGGAGTTTTTATAAAATTTTATTCTTAAGTTATTTGTTAGTCAATGTAATTTTTAATATCTTGGCTGTCTTAATTTATTTCAGGATTTTTTTATGGTGGCAAAGTTTTTTGTAATTGATAATGTCAATTAAAACCAAAAAACTGCTATCTATGTCAGGATATTTTGTGAATGAATAATAATTGTGTTTCTATCGATTTTGATTGTCCCTTCGCGTACGTGTCGCAGTCAACATTATAATATATTGACGCGATTCCCCAAAATTTTACAATTTCTAGATTCGCCTTGTCGCAGAAACTGTTATTTATTTTCATTCCGAGGTTTTTTGCGTTGGCATAAAAACGTTATTTTCCCGTTAGTTTCATGGGGATTTGTTTTGAGGAAATATGTCACATTCACAGATTATAATATATTGGATTCTTTTTCACGTGTCGCCTCCGAAATTCCTGCGGGAAGAGGAAGGCGGAGCTTCCCGTGAATTATTATCGAAATCACAATTTTCTGGATCCGAACTGTAATAAAATAAGAAAGTAGATGGTCGAGCGATGACCGAAAATCCCTAATACAATGGCAGAGAAAAAAGGTTGTAGAATAATAATATAGATCCAAATATTAATCGAAGATCATTAATAATAATAACTAAATCTCTAACATTATCAACTATTTCTAATAATTCATTAGATATATGGATTTTAAATTTTTAACGGAGAAATTTATTATTCCTACCACAAAACAATGGTTCAGATTTGTTAGAATTTAATTTCAACTCATGCTGACAATTATTGTTGAATAGTTTGAACTTGAGAATTAAGTTCTTGAGCTGCGTTATTAATAATACAGCGACTAAAATATAAATAGCACTATGTGTGCCTTTATTAATTGAATTGCTAATATCTATAATATATTATTTAAGAAGATACCCAAATAAAATAAGTAATGTGAAACTGTATAATAAAAACTAAATTAAACTTATTTTATTCTTTATACATACTAGAAGTAAATAAAAAACAACACACATGGTTTAATTATTTTAAGAATTAACAAAATAATATTCCAATGTATTTTGAATAAAATTATAACCTTGTGAAAAATAATTCAGTATGTCATTGGTTTCAACCTGCTGCTATGTATACACTTTAATATTAATATGTGAAATTAAAAATTATGATCTGCTAGAGTTGAAAATAATGAAAAACTTGGAAACCTTTAAAGATGAAAATGGTATTATTATAATAAAAACTAGATTAGTTCTTTTTAAAGATAATCAATTTCCAATTCTACTATCGTTTAAAAACGAAATTGTCAATAGGCTAATAGAATATCAGTACAATATTCATAGTTATACAATTATTACTATATAAACTGATCGAAAAAAGTTAAGGATATAGTGAATTCACTGAGAAAAACATGTTTTTAAAAAAAGTTGTATAGCGTATATTTACTCATATCTTTTTCAAAAACGAAGCACATTTGTTTAACTGAAAAAATGTTTTAATTAGAATTTACACGCAACTTTTCTTTAATACTGTAACAAAATAAAAAAATTATCAAAAAGAAAAAAATTATTAATAGCGTGTAATTCCACTTCTATTGGCTATTACTGCTTTAGCTCGGCGAGGCATATTTAAAATTAAATGATCCAAATCATTTTGATCCAAAGTATCCCACAGATGTAGAAGAACTTGCCTCAGTGACCTTACGTCCTAAATAGAAGGTTGATTGGCAATAAGTTCCCTTCGCAACATGTGCCAGGCATGTTCGATGCAGTTTAAATCAGGAGAAAGCGAGAGCAATGGCAAATGATTGATTTTATGGAATGCTAGCCGTTCTTGTAAAACTCTGGCTCTGTGCTGGCGAGCGTTATCATCTAGAAATCTAAAATTGGGCTGAATTTCTAGCGATAATCATTGATCAAGTTATCGATAATGTCGTGGGCAAAAATTTCATCTGTCGCGGTACCTTCACAAACATACAACTCCGTTCGACCTCCGTAGAAAATTTCACTTTAGACCATTACACCTCCACCGCCAAATGAATGCACTTCTTGAACATATTGCTCAATAACTCTTGAATTTCTTGGTCTCCAGACATGAACTGCACGTCTGTCAGCACGAAGACAAAAGCGACTTCCATCACTGAACATCACAGTGCGCCATTCATCATTCCAGTTGGCCTTTCCGAGGGGTAATACGAATTTGGCTGGCAGCAAAAAGGTGCAACGTGCAGTTTGTTGTAGGATCCAATCTTTGGTTTAACTTAGCATTTGTTGATCTTGGTCTACCCTCCCATTGCCTGTCCATGACAGTCCCATAAAATCGCTTATTAGGTCGAGAAATTACACTTTGAGATACATTATACTGATCAGCCACATCGATCTGTCGCGCACCTCCAAGAAGCAACCCAATAGCTTGATTTGCTTCCTCTACCATTATATGACGTCTATTCATTTTCTTGTTAGCAGAATAACCACAATATTGCAAACTGCGCTTAGCAACACACAAACAAAACTAAACTTAAAAGTGGTATTCGCTGAAGGCCTAATCCACTACGAAAATAAAAATTAAAACGAAAATAAAAATAATAATGAAATGAAAACTACTGAGGCATGTTTTTATAAATTCTGTGAAGAAAAAGTCCGCTTGAATGAAAATCCTAGCTGATCCTTTTTTCAAAATGGGTGGATTTCCGCTTTTTCGTAATTTTTCACCATAATTGAGCGATATTGTTTCTTGGCAATGCTATTATTGAAGCATGCAAGTGTGTGTGTATGTGTGTGTGTGTGTGTATGTGTGTGTGTGTGTGTGTGTGTGTGTGTGTGTGTGTACGCGTGTGTGTGCGCATGTGTGTGCGTTTTTGTTCGTGACCATAAACGTGATCAAGCGCCAAGCTCGCTCTATCGATCAATCAAATAACAGAAAATTAGTTATAAAAATCACAGCTATGCAGCGCATGGTACACACCGGGCACTCCCGCGCAATAGAAAATCGAATCTGTAGATCATAAATGAATTTTCATTTCATAGCCGCTCCCTATATTAGTAACAAGTATTCTCTTGAAAAATCTTGTTATCTCTGGTCTCCAAGAACATGGAAAAAATGTCCTATCGACTCACTTAGATTATAAATACGATCACGAAGAAAAAGTATGTGTACCATCTGGTAAAAAAATCGTTGTTGCCAATCGTCGAAAATCAGAATTTTTAATTACTGAAAATCTTACTGGTTTAATTAAACAGCATATAGACCATCAGTTTAACCTGTCTAATTCTAAATTTCATGTTAGCATTTGTAGTACTTGTCGAAGAACTATAATGGAATCAAAGAAAAGTAATCCAAACAGGCCACTTCCAACAATGCCTAATTATGTAGACATGCATTTAGCAGAAGAAACTAGAACCAGGACAACTTCTGATTGGAATTGTTTTATATTTCTAACGGCACGATTCAGAGGTCATTCTAAAATAGTTAAAGGCAAAAGTAATGTACGTACTTTTGATACTATAATAGGTCAAAATTGTGGTCTTCATGGAGCTGCTTCATATCATGATCTTCCGTCTACAAGTGGACAAAGTAATACTGAAAAGATAACGTCCATGAACTTTTGCAATGCGTGTTTTCAGAAAACTGGCAAGGGTTTGCGTCATTATTGTGGCGCAGGTCCTTCTTCATTTAATGCCCGTGAAAACGTCTTGAGTTTAGTAGAAAGATTACCAGAAAAGGAACAAAAAAAATCCACCCATCTTGAAAAAAGGATTAGCTAGGATTTTCAATCAAGCGGGCTTTTAATGAACTATTAACCGCCAACAAAACGCCGTTTTTCGTTTTCATTGGCATTTTGGGTCAACCTGTTTGTGCTTCATGCGAAGTGTGTTTTATAATAATGCTTTTTATCTATTTGGGTACAATTTTATATGTTTACAAACAACATTTTTTTAAACACAATTGACCTAGGTATTAATAGCTACATCACATTTTTTTCTATAAAAATTCCTTTATAGTGAATATCCAATATCCTTAACTTTTTTCGATCAGTTTATATTAAGCAAACAGTTCTGGATTTTACGAGAAAGGAAAACTGGTAAAGTGGTGATATCCAAATGTTTAATTTATAGAAGATATAGCATTAAAAGTGCAGATACCCAGTTTGAACCCTTGCCAAAAGATATGCCCACTTGTACAGCTATCTTTCAAGTCACAGGAGTAGATTTTGCTGAACCCTTGTATCTGATTGTTTTATTTACTTGTGAAGTATTCAAAACGGTGTACCTGGAATTGGTACAATAACTTTTAACTGATATTTTTGAAATGGCTTTGGGGCAATTTTTAACAAAAAGATCAAAAGTTTTATTAATAAATACGGATAATGACTTCAATTGTGTTGGTGCCAGTAATATTTTAAATCAAATAGACTGGAATAAAATCACCGAAAATATAAATATATAGTAAATAAAATGGATTTTAAATCCACCCACTGTATGTTGGTGATGAGGATGCTGGTAGATTTTGGTTAGACTTGTTAAGGATATAATTCGAACAAATTTAGAAAGAGGTTCATCTAATTACAAAGAGATAATGACAATTTTGTATGACACAGAAGCCGATGTCAATTCCTCACCTCTTACATACCATACTGAAGAAGACAACTGTATTCCTCTAAATCCCCCTACTTTACTAAATGATAAGGTTTGGTTGCTATTGATAGAATATACAGAATGTTCGAGACAACATTAGACAATGATTCAGAAGAGAATACTTAGCTTAATTAATCAACTCTGGCCAAAGAAAACAAAATTCCATAGAAGTTAATGAAATAGTTTATAAAGGAAATGACAGTAAAAAATATTAAGGTTTTCCTTTAGAAAAAATAATTAAGGTATGTCCAGGTAAAGATGAAGTGCCCTGAGTAGCTAAAGTCAAAATTATAAATTGGGTCCTCACTCGACCATTTTAGAGGTTAAAATATATGAAACCAATTTTCAAGGGATATCTAGAAAAATACTTAAATTTAAAAGAAATAATGACAAAAAAATTTATAGCACGCAGAAGAAATAAGAGAGAAGTAAACGGCGAAAATCAAACAGTATAAGAATTGCAAGAACGAAAAACCAGAAGAAACATATACCAGATCCAGGATATACCAGATTTGAAATTTTTAAAATTGCCAGTTGCTTATGTAATTAATTAATGATTATTCACCATTTTCATTTATGTTCCAATCTTGGAAAAGGGGGTATCTCACTGAAGTTAAAAATAATTCCAATAATTCTAGTCGATACTAAAGAACGTTAGTAAGCCACGCTCACTTACATAAGAATCAACTAAAAATTTCTCGTTACACAACTCTGTATTCAAACTATCGCCAACATGTACTGTTAAAGACATCTCGTTTCGTTTTACCCGTCGGCTGTCAACACTCATTTTGATATACAGTCATTATCTTCAAAGTCTCAATAGGTGAATTGTTTCGGGTTCAATGTTTTTACCATTAACAGAGCATTAAGTAATTTTTCGATATTATAAAAAACGTTATTGTATATATGTTAACAAGATGCTGGTGTCCCTTTCTAATATTATAAACAATACAAAATTATCCAGCTATTTATTTATGGGTAAGGGACTCTTTAAGGGGTTGAAACAGCTTCACCAGTATCAGTTTGTAAACTGATGGTTATAACTCAAAATTAATCTAAATGGTAACACCTTGTGAAACATAGAAATTATTTGCTGCGGTTCCTGCAGCGATGGAGCCCTTGACGACAATGTCTAAAACAATCCTGTGTGAAAAATTTTGTTATAAAAGCGGAAGCTTGAAACTTTCAGATATTTTTTATATCAAAAGTTAAGAGAAATAAGTTTGCTTGATGCCAGGACATTCCACTGTCAGATAGACTGCAATAAACTATTTTCTTTAATAACATTTTTTTAATATAATACAAAAAACTGAGCCTTGCTTAAATAAACCGTAACTATAAATACGTTTTTCAAACTTGAAAGGTTTCCTCCGATACCAAGATGACAACAAACTTTTTTATATTATCCTTTGATGTAAATATCTAAAAGATTCGAGCTTACACTTTTATATTAGAATTTTCTATATCGGCTTTTCGAAGACGTCATTAAGCGCTTCACTTGTCTCACCTTAGACAACAAGTTAACATGAAACTCACGCTTAGAAAAGAGAGTTAAAAAAGCATATAATGATTATAAACAATGCTGCCAAACCATGGGATGCACCTGGGTTTCTCCCCCAGAGTCATCGCATGGACTTACACAGCTATCATAAGACCTAAGCTAATACACGTTGCAGTTGTCTAGATACTCAAAACCCAAAAATTTACATTTATACGCAAACTGGAACAAATTCAAAGAACAGCATCTCAACATAACACGAGCCATGAATCCACACCCACCAGAGCCATGGAAGTCATTTTTAGCCTTGATATTGACATCAAGAAAGCTTCTCTGATTACATGACTAGACAGAATCTGCGTCTGATTACAGGTATGTTAACTGAACATTGCCAATTACATCTCCATATCATTGGGCTCTCAGAATTTTCACTCTGCAGGGGGCAGAAACAAGAAGATGAGACCATCGAGCATAATATTCTCTACGATTGTCAGACGTTCTCATTTATTAGAAGATTTTTGTTCGGCGAGAATTGGCTAACACCGGCCGACATAAGGCGACATTGTTAACCACATTAAATATGTAGGCTGGGTCACGAGCTAGGAGGTATCTATCTACTTAGGAGCATGCTCAATGGGCCTAGTGAGGCCTAAATGCCGTGGGTTAATCCACCCTTCACACGTTACAGATACAGATAGTCACATTACAAATAAAGGCAAAGTAAGTATTTATTGAGCAGTATTTTTTAATAAACCCTGTATAAATAATAGTTATGTAGGGACATCCCTTAACACTTTTTCAATTCAACCTGTATATTTTTTAATGTTAAACATTTTAAAGTTACATTTCTTTGAAACAATATTGTAATCCCCGTCTATGATAGAATTACAGTCTGGTTACAATAATTATTGGAGTATTATTTGACAATAAAATTTTATTAGATAACAAACCTTACTTAAAACGTATTCGAAATTAGAAAAAATTTTACGGCCCCATTCAGCCATAATAAATTTCTAAACAAATAAAAAATGGCAATAATATTTTTTATCGATGTCATTTTGGAATTGTTCCTGGAAGGTGTTATTTTACGAAATGGATTTATTTTATTTGACATTAAAACCAGCGATTTATTTACGTCATGTTTATTTAAGCGCCACCGATAAATACGAGAAAAGCAATTTTCTTATATTTAAATGTATCCATAATGGAAACAATAAAAAGTAGAATAAGTTGGTTCTTAAATGTTAACTATAGAGCTTTTTTATGTTTAATAAAATTTAAAATGTGCGCTGTGCAAAAGGATTGTTAAAGCATTAATAAATTAAGTTTTAAGAGATAATTAATGCAAATTATATTCTATACATTTTTAAAACTGGCGCAATTGCTAGTGAAAGAGAGTAACATATACAGTATCGCCTATTGAACGCGTTTTTTTTTTCTATCTATTCTTACATTAGTAAACGGTACTTTATTATCGTCGATTAATTTACCGAATCAGGCGAGAACCTCAAGATGGATCTTGTACCTCCAGACATATTGTATTACTTGATCGTTTTTTTTTATGATTACAATAGTTACATGTTTAAATATACTGAGCTAAATATATTAAGTTGTTAAACGTTCACCTGTTTTTATCTTATGTGTGTTACGAGTTGTTGAGTTCAGCCCGAGTTTCATAAAGAGGGACAACCCCTAGTCCAGATAAGCTATCTATCAAAATTCAGAGTTAGATAATTGAATAATTATCTAGATATTCTTTTTTAATTCTTAACCAAAATATATTCCATCTTCATCAGGTCTACCTTCCCCTTTTGTCAAAAGACACTCCGGGCACTTTTGCGAAGCCCAGGCGAACCTACCCCCCGAGTAAGGACTATAGGTGCCTATTATCAGTTTGCCAAACCATTTCCTTAACCCGCTCGCACTATTCATCACGGGGAAAATTCTTTTATTTAAAATCTATTATTTTATTTTTTTCTTTTTTCTTTTTTTTTTGTCACGGTGAGAGTGGATAAGCTCTAAGGACCTTATACCCTGACTGTGGCTGGTGACAGTCGCTGCCTCTACACTTACAGTGTACCCCCCTTGATGACTAGAGTCCTTTTGGCCACTACCTTGTTATTTAGTGACAACAGTTACTTTCTAAGTGACGGTGGTTGTTACAATTACATGTGAAAACTACTTAGAGTTAGCATTAGGGCGAGCAGAAAACGACTAAAATCAGCATTGCCAGTATATACCTCCCGAAAATCGTTAAAACACGGTCGGGTTGTATAGACTGAAAATGCTGATATTATTAGTTTCCTGTTTGTTCCAATGCTAACTCTCTGTAGTTTTTACATGCACTTGTGCGAAGTGTATTGGAAAACGTTTTATAACCGACACTGTATGTAGCTGGCATATACCACTTCTTTTGACGTGTAAAGCGAAAGTAACAATTGCTACTATTATAATTACGAACGTTTACATAACAAACAAGTTTTGTTCTATTAACACTAAGTCGCATTTTTTAGAATACATTCATTCCATAAAAAGTTCTATAAATATTGCAGGTCATTATTATTATAAAATAGTTTTAGAAACATTTTTGTAACCATTAAAAAACACTGTTACAGTATATAACTTTAGTAAT